ACTTAGTTGATCCAGGTTGCTAAAAGTCATTGAAGATCCTTTCATACTCTGGTGCAATTCAGTAGATTTCTTCAGATCTTTGTGTACTTTCGTACCTTCTGTAATAGTTAAAGTTCATTAAAATTCATCAGAATTTTATATCTGCCAATTGCTTTTCTCTAAATAAAAACTTATAAAAATTAATATTGAAAATTAATTTGAAGTAGAGATCGTAAAAAGTTCTGAAGAGTATGACATTTTGCCCAAACACTCAGCAGTTATGACAGAAGAGTATTAAAAAATTTAAACGAGCTTAAAACACAAAGCACTCCATAAAATTAGTATTTGTTTTCATTGTTTAAACTTTCATAAAATTATTACAAAAAACTTATACGTAAAAAAAATACAATAAGAAAGTAAAAAACGCAAATATTTCTATTGATGAAAGAGGCCAACAAGTAGAGTTTAATAAATCCTATTAATCACCATATTTATGAAGGATATTGACTCAATGATTCATCAGACAGACTATATTTTTTCATGAAGAAAAAAAACAAGATGAAATCACATCGGAAGTGAAGGTCGTCTCATTTCATAGGATATTTCAAAAACAAATTCGTCATATAAGTTCGAATAGGATTATCCAATTACATTCGTTGCTCTGTTCTGGATAAATCACAGTTCATAATAAAAGAAAGAAAAATGCAGCTATTCCAACAAAAAAACATTATAATTAATTTTAAAAAAATCGATGAAGAATACTTTCTGGTATTAAAGTCGAAAATGATAGTTTTCATCAGTCATACAACTGTATCTTATGTATAAAAACTTGCTAATTTCTTCTACCACGAAACAAAAATTCTAACTGATTTATTTAAAATACGATGTAGATATTTTATGTCATTGTAACATATGCCGACATATAAACTCACAGTGTCAGACATTACATACTAAACTACTCTAAGTAATGTTTTCTATTGTTTATATCCAACAATGAAAACAAAAAGTAAACATACAAATTTTTCCTTATTTAAGAGAATGTATAAATATACTTTTAAAATGTAAAAACTATTACATTTCGTTTTAAAATTGACTGAAAACTGTAAATAGTTCGTTCTCATGAGAATAAATTTTTTTCATTTCGTACAAACTTGAGTTAATATAAAACTCATAATAATAGGATATACATTTACACCATCATTATATTATATTCACTTGTAAAACAAAATCGAATTCATATATTTTCTTGTTACTCGTTCGACAGATATTTCATATAACATTTAAAGTATCTAATGTAGATAATTAAATCATTCTTATTTAGAATATAGTATAACCTCTCTATAGTGAACACCTTGCAGAAGTTTCAAACGTGTTCACTATAAGAAAGCTTGGTCTTTTCTAAAAGCAGTTTTATACAAGGAACAGATATGTTTTCCCAGATGTTGGAAAGATGTTAGTGAATAAAAAAAAATTTACTATTACTCATTGTTACTTGTCTTTTCATGCATTTTTTGTTCTTGAAAAATTAATAATTATTAAAATATAGTAAAATCTTCCTGTCGTGGACATCATTGAGACTTTTCAAAAGTATTCACCATAGAACTACACGAGAATGTCTACTGTAGAGACGTTCATGTCCAGTAAAAACTACTTCATCAGACCGTGACATGTCCATTATAAAAGGTTTTAATGTATTTTTTTAAATAATTCTTTCTAGGGCGCCCTTAAATGTCGTGGTAATGGTCATTGTGAAGTAAACGTTGAAAAAAGAAAACGATGCAAAAAATGTCGATTAGATAAATGCTTTAGAATGGGTAACTTAATTTATTCGTTTGTTTTGTAATATGTATACATATGTTTTAATATATATTTTTGTATTTAGGAATGCGCAAAGAATGGATTCTTACCGAACACGAGTATTTTGTTTTCTTTTTCTTTTTTTTTCTACATTTCATTTAATAAAGAAACTTTATAAATTATAGGCATTGATTAGTAGAATAGATGCTCAATACATGAAATTTTTCTGAGGATATGAGAACATAAATATTTTAAAAATAATTATCAATTTTTTCTGACTATAAACTAAAGTCTTTCTTTTGTTTATCGACAAAAATATGAACATGTTTTTGTTTTTCCAAAAATAGAATTTCAATACAATTTAATTTAGATATTAGCATAGTTACTAATCTATTTATTGTTTTCATCCCAATCTGTTCACAAAAGGATACTAATTTATTTTAGAGATTATATAACTTAAATTCTTTTGAATACTAATAATTGTAGAAGTTTAAGATTGAATCAATGGATGAATTTATATTTAGTAAACAAAAAAAAAAGAATAAAGTTGAACAAAATCGTCGTCAAAGACAACCACATGTAAACGTTCCAGGACGTCGTCGACGCTGTATAAAATATGTAAGTGTTATTTGAATTGACTGATAAATTATTTATTTTATAAATTTTAATTTATTTATTTCTAGTGGAAAATTCTTGAAAATAATTCAGTTGTAGATCAAATTGATCCATCAATAACTGATGATATTCCACTAATGACCGAATTAGATTGGGCAAGAATTCATCAAGTTCAACATGCATACAATCAAGCAACAACATTGAATAAAGTCATTGGTGTTCCGTTATATCCAGCAACTCAACCAATACATTCACCACTTGAACTTATTCGAATTCCAACTTATTTAGCATCGATACGTCTTATAACTTTTATGAAAAAAATTCCTGAATTTGATTTATTTGATTCAGAAGATCGTGTTACACTTGTTAAACATAATTTATTAGCAGTTGTTTTTATGCATGCTGTTCTATTATATAATCCACTTGCTGATACTTATCATGAACATAATACAGAAGATCCTATATTTCAAGGCAAAGATTGGATTGAAATACTTGGTGAAGAATTTTATCATCAATTAACTAATGTAACAACGAAATTAATTACAATATTTCAATACGATCGTGTTATTGTTAAAGTATTTTTATTACTTATTTTATTTACAAAAGGTTTTTGTGGTTATGATATAATTCATGAACCATCATTAAGAAATCATTTAATTGTATTTGATACACAAAATCTTTATCTTGAATCACTTTATAAATATTGTTTACATCATTATGGTTTGGTGAAAACCGTTACTTTATTTACACGTTCTCTTAATGAAATATTTGTTATTCAACGTTTAGCTGTTCATTTAAAAGATTTTGTACATAATCATATTGATGCATCACAATTATCGCCATTGATGCAAAGTGTTTTACAGTTAACAGACTAAAATTCATCCGTATAAAACTGTATTCATATGTATATATATATATATATATATATTTTTTTTGAAACAATAAAATAAATATAAACCTATCGTACTTTTCTTCTATAAATGCTCGCACATTAGTAGTTATGGACAATATTATTAAATACTTTTGTTTTCCTTTTGTTCCTTGTGTAAAGGTTACTTTTGCATTTAGCAGTTCCGTTAGAAAGCACTGTCATCATATAAAAGGTGAATGTACCCGTGCTTCAATGTTTTTTTGCATTCTTATCGTCGATACACTATTCATAACAAAATAATTTTTGTATGAGTCAGCATTATAAAATTCTTGGTTTCTCATCATTATTATAATGCAGACAAATAATCATTTGGTTTCTATATATGTATGGTAAATAAGTGAGTGAACAACAATGAATATTTATGTATCTTGTATCAATGGGTTACCAAAGTAAAATAATTATTGATTTCCGTATTTTGAGAATAAGATTTTTCAATTGAATCATAATTAATATAAATGTGCAACAAAAACAAGAAATTTTTTTATTATTAGTTTTTTTTCTAGTGTTTGCTATGTAATAGACGAATGCAAAATGCTGATGAAATTACTTATTGTGAAGATCAATATTCTTTTGACATCTGGCAAATGAAAGGAAAGAAAAGACGCAAAAAATAAGCAATTGAAAACATTCAAAACATAATGCAATATAGGAAACCATGCATTTCTATCTATAATATGTTGTTTAGACAGTTGAAATAATTGAATTGTTGATGAAAAACTTATTGCACTATATATTCCAATATTTAAAAAAAAAAGAATTTTATTTCGTTACATAATTAACTTTGCTGTAATTACGCAATATTCATATCGTGGTTTTGAAAAAAATTATAGGCGCATGGTAAATAAATACATATTTCAAAAATACGTTCGAGAAAAATGACATGATTGGTTGGTTAGTTTTTTTTTTTTTCTTCGTTTAGCAATCGTTCTCTTTCTTGATATTATTAAAGGTTTGTTGTTTTTTATATATATATATATATATGCTTTTTTTTTTCTCTCTCGTCTATTCTACGGCATTAAGCGAACCTTGGACATGAGGTTTATGCGCATACTAAAAAGTTTAATAAGAACATTCATCCGTTCTGTCCTATATCTCATTTCTTATTTTGCTGTCTTTTTTTTTTCTTTTTCTTCCTTTTTTTTTCTGGCTACCCCGTGACAATGTAGGTTATTATTATTATTTCTTTCCTCACATAGTTTTGAAAAAATCATGGAAAAAAATATCGGTTCAACAAGTTTAGCTATAAGTATTCGACGTCTTTTTTTAATTATAAAATTAACCAAAAGATAAGGATCTTTGAAAAACCTTTATTCATTTTTTTATGAACAATCTTATACACATAGATTTGTCTTCTATATTTCTTTATTTTTGAATCATTGATAAACAAATAGTACGACTGAAAAAAGTCCATTGTTGAATTTGACCTTCATAGAGTACCCAGCAAAATTACATGCTAACTCCGTTACCCTATTCTCTTTCTTCGTTTTTTTTTTCTTTTGAGAATTTTTTCTTCGTATTCTTTATTGTCGAGTGAGACATTCGAGTCTATTGACTCGATGCTTTTTTTTTTTGTTCTATTTTTCTATTCTATTGCAGCTTTCATTCACCTCCGTCGATTTATAGATAGACGAGTGTTTGTACAAACCATCGTTCAAAATCATAGTTATTAAAATACATTATGGCTGAATATTGTATACGCCATCGGAAACGGATCTTACATCGTTCGTATACTCTTAATCCAAATACAAGTAGTGACATAAAAAATTATTCTTATTCTGTCTTTAATAACAATAATAATGAATTACAACAACAACGAATGGCTTATGCTCGTAAAAAAGCTGATACTTTATCCTGTAGTATTTGTGACGGACCAGCACACGGTTATAATTTTGATGTCATCACATGTGAATCTTGTAAAGCATTTTTTCGACGAAATGCATTAAAAGCTAACGTATGAAAAAAAAATCAAGAAATTTTTTCTAACAAAAAATATTCTTGAAATATTTATTTATGTATTTTTGTTTTTTTTAGGGAGAATTCAAATGTCGAATGAATAATGGTCGATGTATAATAACAGTTTCAACAAGAAAACGATGTAAAGCCTGTCGATTAGCAAAATGTTTAGAGCAAGGTCTATTGTTTATTTTTGCTTTTTTTCTCATTTTATTTTAAATAAATTTTTTTGTATATTTTCTATTTAGGTATGAGAGCTGATTGGATATTAACTGATGAAGAACGTGTAAACAAACGAAAAAAAATCGAAGAAAATCGTCGTCTTCGTCAAATACTTTATCCGGATTCATCCGAGACTGATGAAGTTTGATAAAATAAATATATTTAATTGCATGATTAATTTGTTTTTTCTTTTATATATAGGGACAAATTATAAAACCAAAAGATGAACCATATGATGATGATGATGATGATGAAGAAGATCGTAATAATGATATTATTACAGCATCATTTATAAAACCAGCAACATCATTATTATCATCGGAAGATTTAATTAAAATTCAACAAATTCAACAAGCATATACTGATTCTGTCCGTTTAATATCATTACCACCTGAAATTCCATCATATCCACAAGCAGTACAAATAACTCAAACATCAGATATGATTAATTTTCCAACAAACATGCAAGCAACTCGACTTATAACTTATTTTAAACTTTTACCTGAATTTTCATCTTTAAATGAACATGATAAATTAATTTTAATTAAATATAATACGTTTCCACTAGTATTTATTCGTGCAGCATTAAACTATGATACATTAACCGATAGTTATCATGAACCTAATACAGATGATTGTATTTTTGCAGGCAGTGATTTAATTCAATGTTTTAGTTTACATCAATATGAACGAACAACACAATGTATACAAAATTTAGTCACTGCTTCCTTAAATGATCGATTTTTATTAGAAGCATTATTAATTATTATGTTATTTTCCAAAGGTTCATCAATATGCACATATACAGATGAAGTAGAACCAATAGCACAAGATATTTTAACAATATATAAGATACAAAATATATTTATTGATTTATTATGGAAATATTGTGAAAAAAAATTTGGATTTTCTAAGGCAATACAAATTTGGTTAAAACTTACAGTGGCATCATTGGATGTACATTTACAAGCATATAAGACACGGCATGATTACGTTAAAACTGAGTCTGTTGTTGATCAACTTTCGCCATTGATGAAATCAGTTATGTTAATTCTTTAGAAAAACAGACACTATCAGAGTTTTGTGTATATACGTATATATATATATATATATTTATATGTATTTATTTTTTATTGTTGTTTCCTTTCTGTTTATATAAGAAAAAAAAGAATCTCATTCTTTTTTTTGAGTGATATATTTATATTAAATCAATAAGTTTTGTTAAATCAGTTTCCGTGAACATTAAACTCGATTAACAATAAATATCAGATTTTTTTTTAATTCTTAGAACATGACTTGTCTTAATAAAAGTGAATTTAAACAATATATTCTTGGATTCTATTCTTATTTAATATATTATAATAGACTAATCATTGACGATATTAACCAGACGGATGATAATTTGAAGAAATTATCTCTGAAAGAATTCTTTTGTTTTTTGAAATTAAATGTTATTTTTAGATGAGACAATGCAGATGTCGTTGCTTCATTGAGTCTTCTAACTTATTGACTTTCTATTCCATTGAAAAGAAAAATATTATTTTATGAAAATCTTCATCGATTTGATATTTCTTATGATTATCTTTGCTTCTGATTTAAAAAAAAGGATTAGCTCAGATTAGAATCTTGTTATATATATATATATATATAGAGTCTTATCAACTGAAAAGAAAAAAAGAAAGGTCATTGAAAATAATACTAGTATTTTTGATTAATTTATGTGCCCTGTTAAGAGTTCGGAATTCACAGTGCTTTTTTTCCTTTCTGAACTTGTGTTTTTTATATAAGAAAAAGAAAAGAGAAAATAGAGTATACTATAATTCTAGATATTTCATACTCCAACAAGAACTATTTTATAATTTTGCTAATTTATAAATAAGAATCTAACATATATAGACATTTAATCTCTTGTGTATTATTAAGTCTAAAAATAAAATGTGTTCACCAATAATGCCCTTTGATATTTATCTTTCTATCAATGATAGTTATATGTTGTTGTGTCTTATTTTGTGTTAGTTTAGATCTATATATACCTGTGATATGAAAAATCATAAAATCATTGTCCGCCTTTAACTTCTTTAGAATTTTATTCTTCGCAAATATTACTTTTCTGTTCCACATTCACCGCCAATATATTGATTCATTTGTACTCTGTCAACATTCATTGCCGTAAAGAGTGGAAAAGAACGTATTAATCTAAATATTGACGCTGAATTTGAAACGAAAACATAATATTTATAAAAAGTAAAATACGAAAAAAGTCAAGGATCAAGGACATTTTTACAATCTTTTATAGTATTGTCTATAGAAAGTACCTGTAAATAACCTAAGTTTTTTTTTTATTTTATAAATTTTCTTTTGATTAAATATGAATTTTGTAGAGTATTAGCCCGTGTTTTTGACACGTGCATGTATCTCAATTTGGTTGCATCTCTATTTTCTCTTTTTCTCTTTCTCTTATCCTCTCATTCTATATTTTTCTTTTTCTCTCATCAATCACCCCACACAACCCTTTGTGCGCTTATTCCGTTTTTTTTCTTTCCTTTCACAACACACTGAAGGCAAATTGCGTTAGATTTTGTTGAGCAGATGTGAGTACGCATACATAAGTAAGCACTTACGATTTAATCATCATTTAAAATTATTTGTTTTATTTTTAAATTTTAGTTGAATATTCAATACAAACAAATTTTCTTTAAATTAAAATATTTTATGATTTACAATGCAAACGGATCATAGAGTACCGACAACTAATACAGCTGCAATGCGTCAACAACAACATCGTAAACGATCAGCTTCAAGTGTAAATTCTCGTAAACGTGATCGTCATGATCTCATTTGTGTTGTTTGTCATGCACCAGCTATGGGTAAATAGAAGTAACATGTGACACCATATCTTATCTTTAATATTTCTTTTCTTTTCTTTATTTAACACCATTTTTTTTCTCTTATGATTCCAGGCTATAATTTTGATCAAATAACATGTGAAAGCTGTAAAGCATTTTTTCGTCGAAATGCATTAGCTAATGCAGTAAGCTTCTTAAATATATTTTTGAAATTATATTTTTTTTCTAAAATAAAAAAAATTTCTTAATTAATTTTAGGGCAAATTAAAATGTCGTTCGGGCACTGATGATTGTGTTATTTCTTTAGAAACACGAAAAGTATGTCAATAAATTGATTTATTTTTGTAATTATATTTTCTTAATTTTTTTAGAGATGTAAAGCATGTCGACTTAAAAAATGTTTTGACAACGGTTTACGTAAAGAATGGATTATGTCCGAAGAAGAAAAACGTACAAAAAAACAAAAAATTGAAGATAATCGTCGTTTACGTGCTATGTCACAAAATTCAACAATGTTTTCAATAACACCATCAACTTCACCATCAATTGTTCCTGAAACTGAACGTTTTAATTTTTCAGTTGAATATCGAAAACATTTTGTTAAGGATGATGAAGATGAGGATGATAATGATAATAATAAAGATACATCATATCTTTTTGATGATAATAATGATACAAATGACTTTAAACCAATCAAAGGAATATTTAATAATAATAATAATATAAATCAAAGTAAATTTGATTATAAAATCTTATTAAATGATCATGATAGAATATTATTAACAAAAATTGATGAAAACTATACACGTGCTGTTCAATTAAATATATCTGTTGCAAAAGGTTATGATTCACCATGTTTAAGAAATCTCAATCATCTAACTAATATTGTTAATGAACTAGCACAAATCAGTACATTACGCACGATTACTTTTTTAAAATTAACACCTGAATTTAATGTAAGTTTTATTTTTTTTATTTATTTATCAAGGAAAAAAAAAAGAGTGAAAAGCTTTTTTTGTTTTGTTAGTGTCTACATGAAGATGATAGACTTGTATTAGTTAAACATAATTTATTGGCTGCTTTATTTTTTCATTTATGTATGTGTGTTAATATACATACACAAATATATCATGAACCAAATACTGCAAATGATTATTGTTATCATGCTGGTGAATTACGTCTTTATTCTGAAGAAGTTTATCAACAATCAATGATGTTTATTAAAGAAGTTCAAGATATATGTTCAAATGATCATTTAATACTTAAAATAGTTATGTTAATTATGATTTTTTCAAAAGGATCCGATATAAATGAACCATATTGGATACATCCACATGAAATATTTCATGCACAAAATGTTTTTACTGATCTTCTCTGGAAATATCTTGATGTACGTTTTAGTAGTGATTTAACTGCATCGATTTTTTCTCGTCTTATATTTGCTGGTATGAAAGCACAAATTTTAGGACGAAAAACAAAAGAATCAGTATCGAAACAGACTGTTAATAATGATCATCTTGCTCCATTAATGCAATCAGTTTTACTTAGTTCCTAGTGACTATTTAATCATCAGTTGCATATTAGTATATAGAGTAGTATTTTTTTTCTGTTTTATGTCTGTTTTTCAAAAAATTTTATTAAAAAAAAAAACAAAAACAAACGAAATAAATATATCGTAGAGTTGATCTGTCTATAAAAAAAAAAAAAAAGTTTTAAAATCCAAAAAACAATTTTTTGTATTTTTCTTTTTTGGAAAAAACTCAGTCGATTGTCAATAAATATTTTGTTCAATATTCACATTGATATATCAACTTCATTCTTGTAATGTATGATAGGGATTACAACTAATTTCCATTAATTATTATTATTAGTTAATAGATTAGTTACCGCTATCAAAGAAAAAAAACAAAATAATTTATTGTTGTTATGACTGGAAAAAAAACCAATCAATAATATAATTTTTTGTGTCTTATGTTAAAATATAACGATGATAAAAAAATTTTATATTAAAACCAATGAATGTTAATAATTCAAAATATGATTCTATTCGAAATAATTCACAAACAAAAGAACAACTTATAATTAAAGGTATTCAACAAGCATGGAATCGTCAATTTTTATCTAATATTCATTCAGGTGTTCGAGTTAAAATACAACAACAAGAAAAAATTAAAAATTCATCATTTATTAAACCAATACATAAAGATATTCATCATAAATCAACATCATCATCATCATCATCGTTTAAACAATCAAATCACATACAATCAATGCTTAAACGTTTATGGATTGAATCAGAAACATCAGCTTTAAGTCAAAATGGTCAAAAATCATTAGAAAAATGTCAATATTCATCTCAAAATCAATCATTAACTTCCGATCAAATAAAATCTATTTTAAATAATAATCTTTTGAGAAAAAATTATTCATTAGGAATAAATTCTAAAAATAAAAATATGAATAGTATTGGTATACAAACAAATATAATACAACAAATTGATCGACAAACATCATGTAATATTCTTAAATCAAAAAAAGGTTTCAATAAGAAAAGTCATTCAACATCTTCATCGACAGTTTCAATTTCTAAAACATCAATATCAGATGAAAATTCAACATATACAAATAGTACTTCAATAGAAACATCAACAATTAGTACTACTACTACTGTTAGTACAAAAGACAATTATCATTATTATAATCAACGCAATAAAAATCGAAATAATAATGCTATTGATACTGATAATGAACAAAAGTTTAATCATATCAAAATAAAAGAATTTCAAACAGAAAAATCAATCAAACAACAACCGGTAATAAATATCTTACAATAAATTTAATGTCTTTTAAAAAAAAATAACAGATAATAAATTTAAATAAACGAATTAAACTAAAACATTTCATTAATCTATATCTAATTATATAACTACTGATAAAAAAATATCAAATAAGACTGGTCATGTTTCCTTTAAACATAAGTTTCTTTAAGTATTTATTATTACTGTTTCTAAGAAGATTTCTTCGTATAAATCATGAAAAAGAGTGGTACCTAATATGTTCTAAAATTACATATACTAAAAAATATCTTTTTAACATTGCATGATATTTTTATTGATGATTACAATCATTTAAATGATATTATTTTTTTTTATAGAATAATGAACAACTATTACACGATATAAACATAAACATGCAATATTATCCTCAACCAAA